GATATCCCTGAGTAGGTGTTGTGCCTTTATCTTGTAGTCATATTTGTCCATTATAACAGTAAGGCGTCCTTTGTCGGCCGGCAGTATAACTTTGCTCTTGTCTTTCTTGCGGTTCTCCAGAGCTTTCCGTTCAGCGGCGTTGAATATGTTGGTTCCAGCTTTATGACTGAGAGCCAGGACGATACTGTGTCTGATCATTTGTTGTGCTTTAGGCGCGATGTTGTACGATTTTAGGGTCGATTCAAGTGCAGCGAGAAAGTCGATGGGATTGGAGTCCTTAATATTGAGTTGCATACCTCGGACAATGACTGATTATTCCGCGTCCGTTAATTCTCTTTTGGATGTGTTTGCAATCCAACCATCGTCTTCCTTAGGTGGTTTCTTTTGCGAGATCGAATCCAGCTTCTCTTCAAGCCTCCGTTTGGTGTTTATCTATGTCTCGTGTGTTTCGACGGCTATCCCTTTTTCCAATTATTCCGTCAATTGTGATCCTAGTCTGGATACGCAAATTGCTTTCTAAGTAGATGGAAATTGGGTATTGCCCACCCGAAAACACTGCACAGCCACGACGCGTTTCGATGTAATTTCATCTCATCAGGTGGAGACTTCAGGATTTGAACCCACGACCATTGGAATAGCAGCCCACACTGTGCTGTGCAGTTTTTTCGGGTGGGCAACACCCAATTTCCATCTACTTTGAATACGGTCCCCATGATCGCATTGACTAAGGTTCACTTCAACGTGAATCACAGTCCAGTAAATTGAGGTTGCTTGTCGCAATCCAATCACACAACGTGTAATCTAAACTTGACCCTCCAATCAGTCATTTACCGTCGTGACAAAAAACGTTCCCATCGTGACCCGGTAGCCAAAGGGGTAGTAGTGTGGGCTGCTATTCCAATGGTCGTGGGTTCAAATCCTGATGTCTCCACCTGATGAGATGAAATTACATCGAAACGCGTCGTGGCTGTGCAGTGTTTTCGGGTGGGCAATACCCAATTTCCATCTACATTGAATACGGTCCCAGTGATCGCAGTGACTAAGGTTCATTTCAATGTGAATCACAGTCCATTAAATTGAGGTTGCGTGTCGAAATCCAATCACACAACGTGTAATCCAAACTTGACCCTCCAAATTGCTTTCTGTTCGTTAATAACCATTTAGTATTTATGCTTTTGACTGTGTGCATCGGTAATCAACATGCGCAACATTCTTCGCCCATGTTGTTCCGTTATCTTCCAAGCCAAAGGATGGTTGATCGGAAGATGGTAATGCAGACTCGGCGGCAAAACCTGCCTTCGCAAGCATTCGTGGAGGAAATAGAGATGCTCGTCTGCGGATGATTGCCGACTGGCGAATGTCTCCCATCGCCGAGCAGATTTTAGAGCGGCACGGAGTGTCGCTTCGCCCCATCGTGTCGTTACCTGGAGCACCAAATTACAGGCTTGCAAAGGAGCTCTGGAGATCGCTTAAACACTTAACCGCGCGATCGGAACACTTGATCAACTCGACAGAACAGTCCCTTGGAAAACTTAAAACCGCAACCATTGAACAAAACGAAATGATGGGCTCTTTCGATGTTACCGCCCTGTTCACTTCAATCGACATTGGCTTGGCGAAACAAACAATGACGCGCCTGTTGAGAAGCACACGTCGTCTGATACAAACAGTGGACCCGAACCCAAACAGATGATGGAGTTGTTGAAATGCTATCTAACAACACATTTCACTTTCAATGGCCAAATTTACGAACAGATAAGAGGCACACCAATGGGATCGCCGATCTCTGGTCTAATAGCCGAGGCAGTGATGCAGGCGCTGGAACAAATAGCACTTCCGATCGCGAGACCAAAACTTTGGGTACGATACGTAGACGACACTTTCGTCATCCTCAAACGTTCCAAATTGGAGGAAACACACGAACTAATCAACAGTGTGTTCGATGGCATCCAATTCACCAGGGAGGAAGAGAACAACGAACAGTTACCATTCTTAGACCTTCTCATACGACGGACTGGTGCTGAACGATTGGAAACAACAGTCTACCGAAAATCTACGCATGCGGACCAGATCTTCAACTACGGCAGCAATCATCCGGTAGCCCACAAACGCAGCTGCGTGCAAACCCTTTTCAAACGAGCACAAACCCACTGTAGCACACCGCAGCTGAGACGGGCAGAGGAAGATCATCTCTTCAACCTGTTCAAGCGAAGCTCGTACCCAAAAGGCTTCATTCTACGCTGCCTCGCATCACAAAACTTTACTCAACACACCTCGAAAAATGTACCAGCTGAAAAGAGAACAACACCTCCCTATATCAACGGTATATCTGAAATGGCAGCGAGGCTTTTATTGCCTTTTGGAGTTAAAGTTGCACACCAGCCAACGGAAACCATTCGCAGTAAACTCTTCAAAGTGAAAGATAAACTTAGCAAAGAAGAAGAAACTGGTGTGATTTATAAGATCTGCTGTCGGAACTGCGACAAGTATTACGTGGGACAGACTGGGAGAACGCTTGGCACAAAGCTACACGAACACAGCCTAGCCATACGTCGCCACGATCAGAACTCCCTGATGTCAGTACACATGGATGCTGAGAACCATCAATTCGACATAGAGCATACCAGTATCCTCGGAAGGGCTAAAAGCCGGCAAACACGGGAGTTCCTTGAAGCCTGGCATTCAAAGCAGAATTCGATCAATAAGCACTTGGACATTGAAGCCGCTTACGAGGCACTGCGAACCAGGCCCCTGAAACCGCACTGATGATGTTGCCTAGTCAGGCAACGAAAAGTCTGCACAATAATCACTCAGCTCGGAAAACCGCTCAGAATCCGGATCCACACCCCGAGCTACTCATATTCTCACTTATGACTTATGTCATTTTATTATTAGAAAATCATGCAAGCAATATCCCACCATATCCTTAAAGACTGTCTTTGAAACTTTTATTGAAACGGGATAAGCCAAAATCACCCAGCTGACGCCATATGAAGTTTGTTCGGGAAACTAACCGAAAGGCTTCCGCAGAACACCGGCCCTCCGTCCCGACCGTTCGCCGCCAGACGGCTGCTACTAGTCCATTTTGTCTATAGTTCGTCTGTATTTATGCGGATGGGAACCGGTTACTGGCTTACAAGACAAGCGTATAATTTTTTGGGACATTGACCAACAAGTTATTTTGCAATCCTAGCAATCTACTGTGTTGTTCATAGGTTACTTAGCCCTCGTTCTGTGTTTTTTCGGCACTTCAAAAGTTTTTCCATACCATTCAGTCTCATCGGATGCTAATGTTGTGATGACATTGTCTTGGCTACATAGCTCGAGTATTTGAGGAATATTGTAAGCCCCAACAAGGATCAATTTTATTTCTAAGTTGCTGGTAAGGTAAGGCTCAGTTATTATTAGTATTATAACGTATGAACAGGTGTTATTTCATCATTGACACCCTCAAATGTTTCAGTATAAGTTAGCAAAGCACTTTTTGATTATGTACCTTGATATACCTGCTTTTGCTCTACAATTTATGGTCTTACACTTGTTCCTGTAGTACTTCATAGGGACAGAAGAACATTTGATTTCTGGACTTGGAGTCCCCACCGTTTGTCTTGACTAGGACAAGGAATCTCAGTTGAGGCCATTTCGACCACTGAGGCAGCATCTTAAATGTTGTTGTTAAATTTACGCTGTCCCAACACTGCACGGCAAGACCGACCGGTTTCATCCCCATTGGGAAT